GCTAGGCTTGTCTCTGGAAGCACGACGGTTGGGAAAGCACTGTAGGCATCAAGGAGCTGTGTTAGCTCACTCTGGTTTCAACAATATGTGTGTTTAATGTAGATGAGCCTGCCGCCTGCTTGGAGTCGGCCGTCCGTAAGTTGCCATCAGATGAAGGCGTCAAGGAGAGACGGAGCTTTGGGCAGCAGGTATGCAAAACCAGAGATTTTCAATTCGAGTCCTCCTTCCCATGCTAATGCAAAGCCAGACTTTTCCATGAATAGTGTCTAAGGCAGAGTTATTGAAAACTCTTTGATCATCTGATGTCAAGCTGCTGACAGTCCTCTTCTGGTTGTATGAAACGCTGCTGCTATCTCCTGGTTTGAGCTGATTCCCTAAGTGCTGTCCATTTGTGTTCTGTAACTTTGAACAGGCAGAAGGTGTCAGAGCCCGAGTACTGACGGTGGGGTCAGATTCATCCCCTTCCCACCCGAGCCCTGGGACACATCAGCCATCAGAAAGTGTCGAGGCGCAAGTGTTACTGACAGAATGTCACCAGTGCCTTCGGGTGCAAGGACAGCTCTATGAGGACATTGCTGAGATGCGAGAAGAAATCAAGAGGTTGTCTCAGCGGCTTAGCAAAGCCCAAATAAGAGCTGATGGGCTGGAAAAGGAAGTGGACCAACTGAAAAAAGCCCTCTTGGAAAAGACATCGGCTTTAGACCAGGCAGCGAGAGAATTACAAAGGTCCAAGAGGCAGACACAGTACTTGTATGGTCTCTGCCTTAAGAAAAATAAGAACAGAGGAAATTCCATCAAGAAGTTAGAAGACCTACAGCAACAACTGGCCCATCTCCAAAGCGAAAAATTTTTGCTGTGTCAGCAGGTGGGAGACGTGCCGAAGAAGGCCGCCCAGGAACGAATGGTGAGTGGTGGTGCCTTTACATGCGAGGCCGACAAGGTAGAAAAGAGGTGAGGTGAGCCCTGACCCAGACGGACTTAAAGGAGAGCAGTTCCCAAGGCCGTCTGGTGCTTCTAAAAGTCGGCAGGTGTGCGGTACGTGCGCGGGAGTCCTTCGCTCGGCTTGGTTCTGTTTTGCGCTGGTTTTCTTGGAATCGTGGAAGGTTCTGACAAGCCTTGAGATGTTTATAGACACACACGTACGTAGAAACGCTGCGGCAGGCGTTGGGTTTCGTTTGTGTAGCAGAACAATGGCGTGAAGGATGATACACAGAGCTGGCTCTAGGAAGCCTTGGCTGGGATCACTGGAGAAAGGGCTGCAGTCCAACGACAGCTCCCGCGTTGGCCTCCGGTTAGATTTTAGCATTAACTTAAGGAACAAGCCAAGCCCCACAAAGGCACAGTCTCGGCATCTTCCGAGGAGAATGTGCTGGGAGACAGAAATCTTCACCAAGTGATGACATTTCTGTAGTCGTCTTCAGTCGCCAGGGAAGGCTGGAGACCATCAGCTGTGCAGATGCCCTCTTCTTCCCGTGGATGCGATGGCTTTGCTTTGCGATGCACTTAGAAAACTGATCTCGGTCTGGGAACTAGTAACTG